AAACATACTGAAATGAACAACTACTATAAGAATAGCATTGTTAGTCATTTAACCTGTAATGTGAGGTAAACCCACATATATTCAAATCTACTGTGCTTCATTAATTAGCCACAATATATTATGAACATTGTTTTAATTCCATGCGCACTTTAGCACTTTGGCATCATCTTTGAGAAATACAGTACTTTCAGAAGATATTTGTTCTTGGTTTAGTCAAATGATCAGCAACCACAAAAGAGAGACACACATGGTCGACACAGCAAGTACAAAATGAATTAAGGAACGTGTACAACTTTCTTCCATATGGTATATTCAAGACAGGCATTTCTTACCTCACTTAACTTGTTAGAGCCCAGATCTCCTAGAAGCAAAGTGTCCGAGGTGTGAGCCACTAGATACCTATCCTTTCCCATGATCTTAACTTCATCAACCTCATAACCATAGTGTGACTTCAGCACCACACGGGTTCCAGTGGATAGGTTCTTCACTATCACCTGCAGGCATGAACATTTATGCTTATGGAGTTTGTGAGATTTTTTCAGTGCCATAAAAAGCGAATGGTTCTCATGGTCAAGTGTCAAGCCAGTTGATAAGGTCAGATGCTGGACTGGATAAAATTACTATAATAACATAGGACAGCAACACAAGTTCAAAGAATTTGACAGAGTTTATCATTTTAGGAATGGCAATTCAAATCTACAATCCCCCCTTCTAAGAGGAAACAGAATTCTCTGTCAACAGTTACCACATGTGGTTATTAATAATAGGAGTGTCCAATTCTGTTACTGGAGGAGCAGTGTGTCTGCAGGTTTTCAAACTCTCTTTAAAATAGTGGCACCTAAAGATCTGTTAGACATTTTTAATCCAGTTAAACCAGTAACCAGAAAGATGGTTTAACTAGTTGAGAGTTGAGTTGGAATAAAAAAACCTACAGATACTTGTACCGTATGGCAAATGTTTGCTTCAGAATGTGTAACCTCAACATAAATGTAATATATAATATTTAAAATTAAATTAAAAAATCCACATGAGAACAGACCCACAGATGGGTTGCATAATTCTGTGTGGTAAACACTTGGTTTAAAGGACTTTACTATACTGGATGTTGGATTAAACAGACAAGATCTGATAAAATCCAAAACATCAGACTTTCCCTGCAATAGCAGAGAAATATACAAATAATAAAACAACGCAAAACTAAAAACAACTTAAATATAAAATTAGGAATATCAATGGTGCCCTACAGAGGGATAGTCAATTGCTTATGATGGGTGTTGTTTTTGTTTTATATGCTTTAACAAATTTTATACAGTATATGACATGAAATAAAAAGCTTGTTTATATTAAAAAAGGCACAGGATCATTTTCCGTTGAGTGCACTGATTGCAGTTAAAAATATACATCCAAAGATGAAGTATGCATAAAAATATTATATTTATTTTCTCATATATAATGCTGTGTTTTAGGGTAAAATAAATAGTATTTGTGATTTAACAGACAATTACAATAACATCCAATAACAATAATTGGCAATAACAGACATCCCTTTCTAACTGTAGTCTTTTCTTTTAAAAAGGAGGGTTTACTGTACATGTACACATAAATACTGCACAGTGGTATGGTAGATAGAACTACTGCTTTACAACTCTGGGTCTTGCATTCAATTTTGAGCTGGAGTGCCCTCTATGTGGGGTCCATGTAAATCTACAATATGTTTTCACTAGGTGCTCCAAGAGACACGCTGGTTAGGCTAATTGTTTGTCTGTAAATTGCCTTTTCGATTTGTTACACATAAATGGCTGGAATTTCAAGCATAAGATCTTTAAGAATTTAATAATTTGATCTTTAAGAATAAGAAACTACCCTTTTTTAATAATGCTTCAAAAACAACATTGGTGTTTCTATAATCCAATCTGTTTTATACTTAGGCATACAGTAAGTACCAAAAATTTAACAAACCTCTAACAAGCATATTCTGTACAGCATACTGTACAGCTTACCTGACTCAGTCCTACATAAGTCATTTCAAATTTGTTCTTATATATGCTTCTCCGAAGGCAGCAATCAAACTGTTCTACTCCTCCACATAATGTACCCTACAAAAAGAACGGAAAACAGCACTTTTGAACATTTCCTTAGCATTTTATGTGAAGGATTTACTTTGCCCAATTAAAGTACATCAAAGGTACTGGGGAAAAAGTACTTTGTCTAATTTTTAACTCCTCAACCTACAAGCTTCTAGTTCAGATCATACAAGTTCAATGTACCCTGTAGGTTAAGCATTATCCAATGAAATTTGGGGAAGTAACAGGAATAAACTTAAAGTCAAACTGCATGCACACTCAGTGAAAATCAAAGATAAGAACCAAGGAAAGCACATAATTGATTTTATAGTCATGTCCTCAAAGGTTTTTTTACTGTTGCTTTTCAATTATCTGACAATTAATACTAACGGCACAAAGGCGTGACCCATCCCTCTTCCAGGCTAAAGCTGTGACAGTGTACAGATTAGGAATTTCTTTGGGACTGGCTTCCTCCCAGGCACTTCTCCGAGGACTCCAGTTAAAAACTCGGAGTCTGGAAAAACAGAATACAAATAAGGAGAGAAAACAAATTCAAAATCTCTATTGAAGTTTAAAAAATGATCAATTGTGTTCTGGCCACAAATTATTAAAGATCCAACGGTCATTCTGGTCATTCTTTTAAGAACAGTCCATCAGAGAATTAATTTTAATGCCCTCTAATATCAAGACTGACCTGTCATAGCTGCCAATGACCACAGACTGGCCACTAGGACTGGTGGCTGCCACAGTGAACTCCTTCTCAGAGTGGTCCCGGCTATAGTCAAAGGTCTGGATCACACTGCCCTCCTTTCCATAGGCCACAATCTTCTTATCACACCCAGCAACCAGAATGCTGTTTGCACCCCACGCCAAGGCATATGGTGGGCAGGAGTGTGTCAACAGTTTGCCCTACAGCAAACAATGGAAGGAAGATGCATGCAGCTCTCAGGTACCTCAAAAAAAGATATCTAAACTGCCATCAAATACAAAAAGGTTCAATTCAAATTTGTACTTTTACAATATTCTTAAATGCAAGCTGCGTGACGAATATGTAACTCCCAAAATATTTGGCTTAAACCTCAATAAAATAAATAAGCAATTTAGGACATCCTTCTGTGTTAAAATTATTTGGCCTTTAAAGGAACAATTATGACTATAGAACTACCACACCACACCACAACTACCACAATAATATGCCTAAACACAAGTGTTATCACACTGTTTTTGGAAAATGCAAGATGACTAGAGAATGTGCATTGCTTTTACAGTCATATAAGTCTTATTTTCTTTTAAACAAAAAGTATACTTTAAAGTATGCCCCCTGTGCTCCCTGTGACAACCACAAGCAAACCTACCCACCCGTCTTTGACTGAAAACAAAAGCAAACTAACTATAGCCACTCATAAACACAACTCGGGTTGCTCAATTTAAAATGCACAGGGAATCCTGCCAATTGTGTGGGACAGGACCAATTCAACCAGGATCCTGCCATTTTACTGCAAGGTGGTGAGAAAAACTAAAATGTCATACTTGGGATTCACCTGATCCTTCATCGTCAAAGAAATAGCGCACCACTGTCCCATCTGCGTGGCCAGAAAGGATTCCTTTTCCGGACACACTGACAAAAAAGAAAATTCAATGAGCACTTGAATCAAAGATCACAATGCCACTAATAAAAAATGAAAGTCTTAAATACTTAACACATAATACAGAGAAACGGGATTAAAGTACTTTACAAAATGTGTAGACAGACTGGTTATATGCAATGCCATTCTAAGCATAAGACTAAAATACACACTTTGTTGTTAAGGAAACCGCATAGGAATCTGTCCCATAAACTGTGGATGACTTGTTGGTTTTAGTATTGGCAAGACGGACCTGTTGAGATAAAACACATGGATATTTTTTTATTTTGACTGAAAATTTCATTTTTACTGAGAATGTAAATGTCATCAACAAATATATGTGTTCAATTAAAATTGCATAAATGTATTACTTGCTATGAAGGACAAAAAATATAGCTTAAATGATGCAAAATGAGATTTTGTTAATAATATTTTGTAGAAAACTTCACAGCACATTTTTAGAGGAAAATAATTATGATTAACAACAAGGCAAATATTCATTTGTCATTTAAATATAGTCTCTTCTTTGGTTTGAAAACTGAACTCAGTTTTCAAAATACTGAAACAATTTTATATTACTGCTGTATCTTAGACTTAAAAAAAATGGTATCCTCTCAACTACATTGTAGATATGTATTCCTGCATTACAAATAAGAAGAATCACACTTATGGATCTGTAATTTCTGTGCAGTACATACAATTACTACAAGAAAGGTAACAAATTTGCCACACCTTTCCTTCAGCTAAACCAAAAATAATGGCATGTTCTGCAGGCCAAAGAAGACAAGTCACGGCACTCTGTAAAAAAGGGATGTCATACACACAATCAAGCACGTTGCCATAATAACCAAAATACAAAATAAAAATCAAAGATAACCAAAAAGTAGTAAACATGAAATAAATGAATGTATTTATTTTGTTATTATGGGTAGCTGCGTCAGCTTGCGTAGGCTGCAAAGGAACAAGTAATAGGTTTATTCCATGCTGAAAAGAGAAGAAAGAAAACATAGCGTTTCGGCCATGGAATGTTCCACGGACGAAATGTTGTGTTTTCTTTTTTCTCCTTTCAGCATGGAATAAAACTATTACTTGTTCCTTTGCAGCCTACACATGCTGACGCAGGTACCCATAATAACAAAATAAATAAATGCTTTGACACTATGTTTTGTTTCTAAGTTGCCCACAAGCTGTTGAAAAGAGATGCAAGCACTTTTCACTGTATCCATCCAGCAATTTTCTAACAACTTCTTTTAATGCAGTGTTACTTGGGAGCCAGAGCCTATATTGTCAAACAACGGGCGCAGGGCAGGATACACTCTGGATGGGGCGGCAGTCCACTGCAGGGCAAACGCACGAACGCACACACTCACATCTAGGGCCAGTATTCCGAGAAGCCTATTAACCTACAGTACCAGTACATTTATTTATTTTTTCTGTGAGAGGAAACTGCACAAACTTTTTCTGTCGCTTGTACATCATAAAGACTTGTTTAAAACAAAAGTACAATTAGGTTGAAGGATAAAGGTACCAATCATAATACCACACTCAATATCTTTGCATGATTTAAGACATCCAATTTAATGTAATCTTTAAAACTCCAACATTAAGGAGACGTCTTAACATAATACAGCCTTCATATGTAGAACTGTTCAGGGAGAACTGTGAGAACTGAGAACTGTGTTTATTACTTTCACTGATAGTTACTTATATACATAGTGATTTGATCATTCTGTCACCATTTCCGATGAATATTAGTATACAGTACATCTCCTGAAAGCATGGTTTAACTCAACAAAGTGGATAAAAAAGTTAGATTTTACTCACTGTCTGAACAAATTTATTGCAGATGACCTTTTTTTCACCCCTGCAAATAAAAGTACCAAGATGTTAAACTATGAGCACACAACGCAAACTATGCAATGAACATGAGAAAAAAATCATTATCCTCTAAAAACTTTTTAACTAACAATTCTGTATCACTCAGCCCAAAGATCCCATTAATTTAATTTAGAATAAATCTGACTTCCAATGATTAACAGAAATTAAAAACTTACCATTCTTCGCCAATTTTGTAAACATAAATGATGTTATCTGTTTGACCTATGGCAATTTTGGTGGAATCGGGGGAAAATGCCATGGACTTGACAGCGTAGCTTTTCTTTCCATACTGAAATGATGAAAGAAAATTACTGAGAAAGGTCTGAGAGCTTTTTTCCCCCCTGTATGTGCTATTATGAGTGCTATGAGCATTTTTTTAATGTGGTTTAATATTAGTTGGACATCTGCCACAGTCACTAGTTTTTCACAAAGTAAAACGTATCCTGTCTTCACTGGAATCCCGGAATTCCACCATATTATTCCTCTGAGGTCCTTCCCGTTATCTTTTACTTCAGGTGCCGTTGAGAGACAAAATTACATTTTGTTTTTATCATTACACCTACGTCTTAAGATTTTTTAAGATTGGTATGAACGTGGTGGTATGAATTAAAAAACATTCATACCACCACTGCTTCTGTAACACACAGCCAAGTATGTTCTTCACTGAATTAGTAATAATATGAATCGGCTGAGAAGCCAAAACTTTCCTTGACGATAAGTAACCAAAACCCAAAAGGCAGAAAGACAAAAAATATCCATTGAGACCACACTGCAAAATTCTTGTCAGATCAGACAGATCGAAGTGGTAGACACATGGATCCGATAATACTACAGAACATCCCCAATCTCTCTACCTTTGAATCAGCAGGTTTGGTAGAAAACTTGTCTCTCCTCTCCCCTTGCTCGTCATAAAGCAAGACGACTCTATCCACAGTGCAGACTGCAAACTTCCCATTGTTTGGTGCCCATGCCATGCAAGTCACTTTAGCTGCACCATCCTGTAAAAGAAATCGTTACGGTATGTGCGCAGCGCCGTTCATATTGAAAAATAACACATTTGTGCTTAGTATTATGATAAGGAATAAGCAAATTAAAGGCCTATGTCACAAAATTATTTAATGTACGTCTGGGACGATGAGCATTCTAAAATGCAGTATTATACACTCAGATTTTTCAGCCAAACGGCCACCTATAACTTGTGAACGGGTCATTAGGCCACCATTAATCAAAGCAACGATCTGGTCATATTTATAACTAAATCTATAACTAAACGATTACCTCCTTGAAATTAATATACATTTAATTAAGTATATTTCACATTTTTTACATCTAATCCCTCTAATTAATTAAAATAATATGCAATTTTTAAAAAGCGACTTACTTGAGGAGTTAGAAGTGTCTTTAGGTGTTTTAGCTGCATATCTGATACGACTGTAAAATATCAACAACAGGCCTCCGCAATAATTTGTCTCATTAAGAGTTGATAAAAAGCAAATGACTACGGATAGTTTTCAGTTTACATTAATTACTGAAAATAATCTCAAATCCGAAAGATTCACTATGCGCTGGAAACATTTCTGTATACACTAGCTTTCACCCTGGTAACCATGTACGCACAAAGCAATGACGAAACACACTGTTCTGACATCACAATTTGGTGTAGTTTGTAAACAGCCTTTCAGCTCTAGTAGGGGTGTGGACGTTTTCTCGAATATCGCAATGCATCAGATGTTTGTAAATATATATATAGGGTCGTGAGAATTGTGTGGGAATGTGGTTTAGTGAAAAAAACATAGATACGAACAGAAAAAAAAAAGAAGTGGAGATGCCGGGGATTGAACCCGGGGCCTCATACATGCAAAGCATGCGCTCTACCACTGAGCTACATCCCCTACTCGGAAAATGTAATCTCAACTCTTGATTAAGAATTGTCTTGAATTACCACAACCACACAACCACAACAATATTATTATTATTATTATTATTATTATTATTATTATTATTATTATTATTATTGCTTACATGGCGCTTTTCTGGACACTCCACTCAAAGCGCTTTACAGGTAATGAGGACTCCCCTGCACCACCACCAATTTGCAGCATCAACCTGGATTGTATCAGTACGTTTTAATATACGTGGAAACAATGTTTTCTCCTGGAAACAATTTTTTAGCTCAGTTTTGCTTCGAACAAAATTTAAATTTTTGGTACCTCTCTGAGCTCTGTCTATCTGCCACAGGCCTGACGGACGGTGGGTGAACTCACTTCCGTGAGAATGAAAATTAAAATTCTCACTTCCTACACAAGGATGGACTACACATACCACTAAAGTGTGTTATACTGTATAGCAGGTCGTACAGGGGTGTATATACTAATTATGCGGTGTGGTATTGAACTGCAGCATTGTTTACACTGTTGTAACTTTTTGTACAAATGGCTATACCTTTGTAATATCTACCTATACAGTACGTGTATGGAGGCAAGATTGTTGACTGCAACTTTGTTTTGTACAGTTCATTGACTGCTGCTAGTGTGTAGAGCCAAAAGAATGCAAGAAATAGCTCTGGTATTACACCTGAGCGTATGCTAACAAATAAGCTTGCAACTCATGGTTAGCAGAATAGTTCATAATTCAGGAAGATGGATAATGGCATTTATAAATACATTTATAATATGACCTGCGCTTTTACTGTCATTCTATTCCATATAGTGCTGATTCAGGTTTGGTGAGCATATTTTTTATTGTCAGACTGAGATTTCTGTTCTGAACCGACTTTTGCAGATTTGTCAGAAAAGTGCACTATGGATGCTGATTTTGCGCTCTTGTGGGCTTGGTGTCCTCCAAAATACCCACTGAGGATGAATGACAACTACCAGTTTAAATTAGAAAAAAATCCTGGACTTTGAGAAGACTGCTGTACATGTACCGATCACAAGGACTTGACATTGAGGTCCTGTTTTAGTTTAGTCATATGGTTACAAATATAAGCCAGCATGGAGTTGTTTATTTAGGATGCATTTGCTACAAAACACTGAGCACACAATGTGAATTATCATCATCTTAATACTCTTAGGTGTCACCTTCTGATACGGAGGTAACAATAGCCAGACAGTGTCCTTGGAGCATTAGCAGAGCTCTGACAATGCACTGTGATAAACTACAGTACCACTGGTGCAGTCTGGTACTGATTGTCAGTGGTGACGACCAGCAAACCGACCCCACAGTCTGTGTACACACTGCAGCTGCTCACCTCTGGATAAAAGAAAATTATGGTAGAGAGAGTCATAAAAAAGGAAATCATAAATTCTAATTTTTATCTAATGCTTACACACTAAGTAATGGAAAACGCTTGTCTTCAGGTCAAGCGATGGTGAGTTACTATACCTGTACATATAGTACATAAAGCTGACAAGGGTTGCTTATTTTCACATATTTACTGTGTATAGGAATGACAGATTTTTCTGTGAAGTTTCCCTTACTATCTTTTTGCTTTATACTTAAACACGGTATTGGAGACCCCTTTTGTACTTCTCTGATGTGTTTTTTTGGCTGTGTAATGGTTGAGAGTGTTGAAAGAGCATTGCTTAAGCAGGCTATTTAAAGTTAACTTTTGAATGTCCTCCAGGCATGGGGTTATACGATGAGCAATGTGACACAACGTGGATTCCTTGGTAAAAATATACCACACATACGCAGATGACAGTACTGGAGCTTAATATTGAGCATGGGAAAACAGTCACGACCCAAATGTTAGATTTTTGTGTTCATTAAATGATGACATCAGGTATCAGGCTGGATTGTCTACGAAGCCAGGAAAGATTATGACTAAAGGAGTCCATTTGTCATTTTTGCTCTGATCTAAGATCTAAGAGCTTTGTCAAAGAAGTGAAGGCAACACAAGTAAGAGAAGCTCAACTCAAAGGAAGTCTGCAGGGATGCACAACTATATAATTCACTGCATTGAGAGGGTGATGATAAGTCTACAGTCCATGAAAGAATTTTTCATTTTAATTATTGGGACTGTCTTCTATTTTTTTGAAGCCTTTGCACGATTGTTTATCCAACCCCCCAGGAAGGATGTGGAAGGGGAGATTGTCCTGGTAACGGGTGCAGCCCAGGGCATCGGGAAGCTCATAGCAGAGCAGCTTGGCCAACTTGGAGCCACCCTGATCCTTTGGGATACAAACTGGGAAGCTCTTCAGATAACCACTAAAGAGCTGCAGGACAGTTTGGATGTCAGAGTTTACGCATACGTCTGTGACTGCAGTCGACGCACAGAGGTCTACAAGGTTGCTGAACAAGTAAGTAGTAGAACTAAAAGTTGTAACAGTAAACTGCTTTAAAAATTACATAACATAATACATAAATTGTGTTTTAACTGAGACAACTTTTTGTGGTAATCTGTTTTATTTAAAAAATCAAACAAAAATGTACTGCAATGTGTTAATTTACTTGTTCAACATTTGTATAGTTTTTAAACTCATGCTTTTTTCCCTTAAGCCTTATTAGTTGTAAAACATCTGTAGTAGGTTTAAACGTGAATTACAGCTTTACTTTTACTTATTGAAATTTACATTTCGGACATTACTTGTCGAAGGTTGTCCAATGTGATAAAAATTATTTTTTCTGTTTTTGTGTTGTAAGATGTTTCCTTTTCTGGTATTATGTCAATAGGTGAAACGCGACGTTGGCGATGTATCCATCTTAGTGAACAACGCGGGAGTTGTCACAGGAAAGTATAATTTTACTGATGCCCCTGACAATCTTGTGGAAAGAACACTTAAAGTTAATGTGGAAGCTCATTTCTGGGTGAGTGGATTTGGTCAAATAATAACCCAAGAAAGATTACAGACAAGCATAGGTCATTCAGCCCATCTTGGCCAATGGCTGATTAGTAGTTAATTGACTCAAGGATCTTAACCACTTCTTGAAAGAAGTATTGGCTTCAACAATATGGATAGATAGCTTTCTCCATACTCCCACAACCCTTTGTGTAAAGAGGTGGTGCCTGGTCTTTAAATCGGGTGGACTTTGTCAGTGCCTTTGAGGATTTTGAATATTTGTTTCAGGTTCCTTGGTAATCTTCTCTGCCCAAGTCTGGGTATTTAGTATAATGGCACATTAACTCCAGTTAATAAATGGAATAAAAGTGCAGAGCAAATTTTATGTTACACTTGCTGCACAAAGCAAATCAAGCCTGAGATTAACACCTTCTTTAACACTTTGGAATATATAGATCCACATAAAGCTGACCTAGATGATGGTCAAAACCTCAAAACTTACTGGCACTCATGTAATATACAGTAATTGCTACAAACAAACTGTGTAGACGGCTTTTCTTGCAATATATGTGGGATTCCTTTACAAGAGTGAGTGGATTCATTTTGTTTTAAGATAATAATAGAGTTGTGTTGAAACACAACTAGCATTTTGCTTGCTTTCTTTACAACTACAACTACATGAAGGTGAGTATGATTCTGTTTTAACAAGATCAGATTTGTGACTCTAGGAAAATGGAAAAACAGAAGAAAATACAGCATAGGGAGTTTTGGTATAACAACAGTAAATACATGACACCCAGACTAGTACTAGTTTTACTGGTGAACTAGTAAAGAGACACTCTGATACTACTTTTACTTATATTTTCTCCTTAATTCCATCTTGATTTGTGTGCCACAACTTACTGTACACACAGTATGAACAAATCAATAGTCAGTCATCTATTACTGACAGATTGTTCTTTTCTCCAGAGCTCTATGGAGCTTATATAGCCCAGCTAATAAAATAATTGTAAGCTATTTCCTTTTGGCCTCACAAGGCACCTCTTTGCTAGGATCACGGTTGTGTACTTTCTAGTCTCTAGGCCTGAAATGCCTAGGACGTTCATGTTTTCTTCCTTTTCCTCTTCAGGATCCAAGTAAAAATTTCCTGTATTTTAGAGGGCTCCTACCAGAACCTCTTGAATCAACTTGCCACTGGCCAGTTGGAAACCCCCAGCTCTTGTATTTAAAACAATATATTTTTTCTATTAATGCACTCTAGGAAGCACTATATTTTCAGGTGACCTAAAGGATGCACAGATTCTGTTGTAGCATCACAATTCTTGATACTTCTGATACCAATTTTTCTTTCTATCTCCAACTTCTAGACATACAAGGCATTTTTACCAGGCATGGTTTCTCGGAACCATGGCCACCTCGTGTGTATAGCTTGCCATGGGGGGCTCTTTGCGATGAATGGTTTAGGAGGCAAGTGAATTCATTTTTCCTCTCATTACTCTCCTGGTGAAATGTACTAAAAGCAACTTCAGGTCATGAATAACGTGATGTTTAGATTTCGCTTGACACACCTGATTTTTCACTTCATTTTCTATGGGCAAACATACAGTAAATATATCCTTGACTGATGCCACTCTACTTGCTTAGAATAAACATTTGTTGGTCAGATAAGGATTAGCAAACGAGGATTTGAAGTTTAGTCTGTGTTAGTCAGGCAATGAACATCTGATTATATCAGTGCAAAAGACAGTTGTTTTTCCTCTCTAAAATATGCATGTGTTAAGTGATTTTTAAGGTTATATCTTCGTTAAAATTATTTTGAGTTCATTAGTAGATAAAGTGTTGTATAGTTTTATATACTCTGTGAAGAGTTGTAAAAGCCTGTCATCACCAAGAAATTAGAAACTCCAATGAGATTTTACTTTTACATCAGAATAATGCAGCAGTAGAAATACTGTACATGGGATTGCAGCAGATCTACAAGAATGTCCTCTTGAATTTGAAAATGTCAGGCATTGTTGAGTGCAAAGTAATGGATAACCTCGTAGATGTTACTGTGCAAAGCAAATTGTGTTTGAAATGATCTGGCTCTGCAGACCAAGCACTTAGCCTTGACTCAGAGAAGCGTAGCAGACTAACGATAATGAGAAAAAGTTACTAACATAGAGCATGTGATAAACAGTGGAAAAGAGGAAAAGAAAGGGAGTGGGACTCGGAGGTAGAGGACAGGATGTGCTTAACTAGACTCCTGAAATATGATTACAAATAGTGAAAAACAATAATTAGAATAAATAGCCTTTTGTAAAATGAATTGATGCATAAAAGGTGTACGTACATAAGCAGCTGCGTCGTCTTTAGAATGTGAGAGTTGGTTTAAGAGGTGCCCTGTCTCTGAGATTCTCTCGCATTGAGTGAGAGTGAATAAAGCTGGCTCTGTCAAACTCCTTCTATCAGGGCTCTGATTTCTGGTGATGAATTTAACATAATAATCAATGTTTAAGCAACCGTGGGAACAAGTGGCATGCCAAGTTTTAATATAAGTATGCAGTACATGGACAGATTGGACATTGTTTCGGTTTTTACAGTGATGGAGCAGGAAATTTCAGTGTAGTGCAGGCAGTCCTGCACAATAGGACTGGCATTATATTAAGGCTGGTAATATATACTAAAATTAGCCAGCAGCCATATCACCTTGCAACTCACAACTGACAACCCAGTGAAGCTCAGCAGGTGTGAGCCCGGTCAGTACCTGGTTGGGAGACGTCCTAGGAAAAGCTAAGGTTGCTGCTGGAAGAGGTGTTAGTGGGGGGCGCTCACCCTGCAGTGTGTGTGGGTTCTAATGCCCCAGTACAGAGACAGGGACACTATACTATAAAATGGCGCCATCCTTTGGATGAGATGTAAAACGGAGGTCCTGACTCTCTATGGTCAATAAAAATCCCTAAAAGAGTAGGGGTGTTATCCTGGCATCCTGGCCAAATTTCCCATTGGCTTGTATCAATCATGGCCTCCTAATAATCCCCATCTATAAATTGGCTTCAGAACTCTGTTCTCCTCCCCAGTGTTAGCTAATGTGCGGTGAGCATAATTTACACTATGGCTGCCGTAGCATCATCCAGCTGCACATTGGTGGTGGTGGAGGGCAGTCCCCATTACCTGTAAAGTGCTTTGAGTAGAGTGTCTGGAAAAGTGCTATAAAAGTGTAAGCAATTATTATTATATTATTATTATTAAAATGGAGATTCCCAGCACTGAGCTCCTGAGCTTCCACACGCCTGCTGGCCCTACTAAATTGAATCCTTAATCAATAACATGTTGCTTGCTAGGAACATTTGCAGGTTTTTTTTTCTGTAAATTTGGAGCTTTTGCGTTAAAACGCAAAGTCTAGCGGTGGAAAACAATTTAAGAGTTCTTATTATTTGGTCAGTTGAGGGTTCAATTATGTGACTTGACAAGCTCAGCTGAAAAGAAAATCAGCTTTACTATTGTTTTGAAACCACATCACTACAACAAAACAGGGAATTTGAAATTAACCTGTAACCTGAACTGATTTTTGATTTATTCACAGATTATTGTGCAAGCAGGTTTGCTGCTGTAGGTTTTGCAGAATCAATTGCTTTGGAGCTCCTGGTTTTGAGGAAAGAAGGCATTAAAACAACTATTGTATGCCCTTACCTGATCAATACGACCATGTTTGCAGGCTGCCAGACAAAGTAAGTTATGAGTGTGTTGTGAATGCGAGCATTAGTAAAGAAATGGAAAAAAAACACTAATTTATAGTGTATGCCAAGAGCTTATAAATGCTTATCATGTATTTCTTTTGTTCTTTGAAGGTGGCCTTCATTCCTGCCAATTATGGATAAGCACAAAGCTGCTGAGGAGATCGTTGATGCAATCCTCAGAGAGAAAATGTATTTACTGCTACCTTTCAGTTTGTACTTTCTGATGGCCCTGAAAAGGTAATGATGAAATACATCAACATAGTTGTGTATCATTATTGCACATGGAGTCAGTGTAATTAAGAGTCACTCTACTGTTGACATGAATTATGCCTTTAACTAAGGCAGATTGTAACCTGCCTGTTATATTTGTATGAACATCCTTTCAAGGTTAGGGTGGGAGTCAAGAGCAACAGTCAGAGTGAATTATGGGAGTGAATATTAATGAGCTATTTGGTAAATCAATTGGATGAACAACTAGTAATATTCTTACTTGTGATTTACATCTAATTGTTCTTAGTGTGCCTATGATTAATTTGTTTTAGCTATCTTTACATATACAGTCACTGAAACAAAAAACATTATTATTTCTGTTTTGTTTCAGTTTTATGCCAGCCAAACTTGGGATCATATTTATTAATTTCTTTGGGGGTTTGGACTTAATGGATAAATTCAGAGGCATCCCTGTATCACCACCAGAAAGCTACAAAGAACCTGCAACACAAACACAGTTTCCAAAGCAGAACAGCACCCTTGAGGAAACATGGACAACAGAGTATAACTAGACAACAAAAACCTGTCAAGGGAATATGAGCATTTATATTTTAACTGAATTGTTTTTTTAGATAGTGCTTCATAAAGAATATAGTAGCGAAATAAAGAGTAATCAAGACACTGTCATGCATAACTGAGGAGAATTGAAAATGGTTGATTAATACATTTTATTTCTTCAAATTATGAAATTTGGGCACTGTTATGTTATTGTGGAATTAAACAAAATAGCTGTCATATGTAAAAACCGACATCAAATGAAGTTTAATAGAAATAATTTTTGGGGTTGTAATAAATCAGGATTTTGTGTGGTCAATTTGTATGGTCATTCAGTTTGCCCTTAGCTCACATGCAATGTCTATAGCAGGATATATACTACAGGTGTACACTGCCTAAAGCAAAAGGAATCTAAAGAATATGGTGTTAAAGGATGAATTTCCCCAAATGTGAACAGAAAGAATGGATAAATGTAAATAGCTATTTTATATCTTATACCTTCTGTTTGTTTACATTTTGTTTCTTCTATTTTATATCTTCTGTTTGAAGCATGCACAACTCAGCTCATGGCTTCAGTTTCAGCAAAAAACACAGCAATGATCATTTCCTTCCCAGCTGTCCATCCTACGACATCCTGACTGTTGTCACTACTTAGTACTGCCTCTTTGCTCCCTCATTCAGTTACATTCAGTTAACAATAGTAAGAGTAATCCAGTGCTAAGAAAACACATTTATAACATTTTTAAAGATTTCTATAAAATCTTAAGACCAATTTCTGCACATGTCAAATGGATTATACTGGGTCCTTCCATAGGTAATGATCTTCTAAAACATGACACCAAGCTTACAAAGGCAGGATTCATTCCCACTGCTAAGGTTTTGTTGTTTGTTTTTGCAGAAAAGCTCTTGAAGCCATAGTTTTTGCTTATTCATTTTGCAGGTATGGCATTATTATGAAAGTTTTGAAGAGCGTGTTTTCCGGAATCAGTAAGAAATGTCTAAGAATAATCTACAGTTAAAAATGTTTTTACAATTTCAGCGTTCACATAGTTAAAAAGCAATGTGCTGGACTGATGACAATCCAAGGATTTTGCTGTGAGGAGACTGTGTCAGTGTGCAGAGTGCTGAAAAATAAAAAAGAAGAAACAATTTGTGGAATCTTATTCAGGTGTTTGGAGCACATTACACTTATTTTGCATATATAGTTCTTTTCATCCCAAAAGATCTCCGAACCCTTTGTGCATACTGTAGGAGATGACACACTTTATTTACCTTTAAAGTGCAGCACATACTGTACCTGATTGATGCAAGGCAGCTATTATACTCCAGGGGACCTGCTACACAAGATGGAGATGTGAGGACTTGCTTCACTGGTTGAAGTAAGGGGTAATGTTAGTAAGGCTAGATTATTCAAGGCCAGAATGGAAATTTGCCTAGACACTAGGGATAGCACCCCTACTTTTTCAAAAATAATATTGGGATATTTAATGACCTCTGTTCAGTTTAAGTGCTCATTTGAAGGATGTCACCTCCTACAGCACTGTGTAGGGGTCACAGTGAATGAATTTTCACTAAATTCTGAATTTTCTAAATTCTTGTACAGAGGGAGAAGTAACACCATCTGAATTACAAACTGGAAGTCTCCCAGTCTTGCTTAATTTTTAAGATCTGACAAGAACAGTCTTCAGACTGGTAATGTTGCAGTCTTAGATTATGATGATAACGTGCGATTTCAATTGAACACCCATTTAACATTAAGATTCAGATTTTCCGCTCTGGTACCCTGAAAACAATAATGTTCTGTGATTATGCTTCAGTTGTTAAGAGCCCCGTTGAATTTTATTATTAAATAAACCGTAGTCTCTGACAACCCGTTCTCTCCTCCTATTCCAAATCACGTAGTCACGAGGTAGGGCCACGCACAGATACAAGCACTGTGTGATTGGAAAGAGAGGTCCCACACTGTTGTGGCTGCCGAGTGGTGCAGTGTGGGCTCCGGGTTACCTATCACAATCTGGAAACTTTCTTCAGACAAATCTCTTCAGAACTCATATCGTTTTCCGGTATTGTACGTTTAACAGTTATTAGTTGTTTCGCATTTATTCGCAACCGATTTCCAATCTGGAAGCGAAATACTAAGTCTCCAGATTATACAGTACGCAGTGTGGTTGTTCACGTGGAGTCTTGCAGAGCTGCAAAGTCGGATGCACGTTTAGGCCAGACAGGGTTGGCTAATTGCGCATATTATTTAAAACAATTCTTACGGCGAAATCGGGATTTGGGATCTGAAGACAGTATTTAGAACAACAGACGACATATAGAACAATGACAGCGAAAATGGCTTCCCTCGTGTTGGAAGACGGTACAGTTTTTAAAGGCCGCCTTTTTGGATCGCAAACTTCAGTGTCTGGTGAAGTTGGTAAGTCACTGTCTGATTGTATTGTTTTCTCTCTTAAGGTGGAAGGGTTTTACGTAGGATGTAAAAGGGTGTACTTCTAAAAAAGGTGCAGTATAAAACATGTATTGCAATGTATATAATTAAGGGTTACTACTGGGCAGAGTTTTATTTTTGAGAACCCGTTTTTTAACTGCAAAAATAGTTGAAATAGTGCTCCAGTCATATCGCAGTTCAGTTTTCGCGCTGCAAGTTTAAATCTGCTCGGTGAACAGCACATAGGGACTGTTCCGCGGTCTTAAATTACTTTATGGAAATAACTATGGAGTACTTGGCGAATTGATAATAAAGAGAGTATCGCTGGCGTGGAAACTGGTATAAAACACTGTATCATATGCAATGCTAATTACATTTAGTAATACGAAATCGTGCCATATTGTCTTTTAAATTGCATAATATTTGTTTTGTTTTTTGTTTTTTACCAACGAGATACCGCTATGATAAATATCCCCCCAAAATTGTGAAGTGAATAGCATGTCCACTTTGTGACAAAGAATTAACAACAGTCTCATCGTTTCTTGTAAATTTGCTTGATTGCTCTTTGTGGCCATCCTTCGAATGCATTTTGAAGGTGGGCGACTCTGGGATCTATAAATCAAAAGTTTTCGCTGGAAGTTTATTGCATCATTTCTCTGTACCACATGTGCTTGTTGGTTTAGGTTAGGGCTACCAGTTGCAGCTGGAAACTAAATGGGCAGAGCCCTCTTGTAGTAAGGTAACTGAAACTATAATTAAAATAGAAAGGTAACATGCATTCCTGTTTCACATGTGCTCCTTTTAATTTCTGTACTGCCTGATGCTGGTTCTCAATCCAGGGGTTCCCAGCCCTTGGCCTCGGGGAACATTGTGTCTTGTGGTTTGTGCTTCACAGGCTAATTGATTTCAATTTTCTGTTGGCATAAATGTCAATTTTCCTTCAGCCCTTAAAAGGTTTAAAGGGATCTGTGCTTGGAATTAACCATGTATTGATTTTCTTAGTTTCCGAACTGCCCTATTTAAGTTTTTTCCTGACTTGTACCCTCTGCAATATGAAATATGCTCACTGTGGAAGTGGCTGATATAGTGTAATTCCAATTTGTCTTTTGGTCATGGTGGCCAACTAGTAAGAGCTGGAATGATGAGCAAGTCGGGGAGAGGCTGGGTAAAATCCTGTTTTTACACAGGATAAAGGTTGTTGGGGGTTGAATAGTTTTAATCAATGTTTTTGAGGCTGTTGGAAACTGTATTCTTGAAGAAGGGTGTTTTTGAAACTCGGGACTGACTGAAGAAACAAGTTAAAAGTCTAAGCAAGCAAGCAGATCAATCAAGTAATCAGTTAGCTCTTGAGATAAGATGGGACCACTGGAATTTACGAAGACATGACATCTAGGAGACAGTTCTCCAGGACTAGGACTGAATATCTCTGACCTTTGGCAATAGGAAGAAACTCCATATGTTACCTCGGGTTGTTTCAGCTTTGGATGTGGAGGGCCAGTGTATCTGCATGGATTTACTTTCTGGGCTCTTCACAACCAAAGCCAGGCTGTTGGTGTAATTGGACTACTTTGCCATCTTCTCCCAGCTTTTGAAGATTTTAAAGACATAGAAAAGGGGTTCCCAGCTCTGGTGTTGGAGGCCCACAGACACACACGTGCTGGTTTTTGTTCGACCCATTCCCTATTACACCTTAAACCCCTAAAGGATTAAAAAATAGGACACATTCTAACTCTTTGACTGTTCTCAACTCTTAAATAAGTTTGAAGTTATCATTTACATGTTGGAGGTTACCATATTGGTGACCTGTGGTGATGAGTTCTGGTCCTAGTGAAACACCTGCCAGTCCATGTATCTGCTCCAAGACGAGTAGCTCATGGTCTAGCTCTTTCCAAACAATTTCCATGGAAGGGTGGAGAAAA